TTTTAATTACAAATCATACCTTGTATTAACTTGAAAACTAGGTAGGTACTCGTCTAGTTTGTTCGTACTGGCCCTACCTACCTAGCTGCAAGGAGTTAAAAGCCATTAAAAAAACATTTTAAAAAAAGTTCATTTATTCTTTTTCAAAGAGCTTTATACGAGTTGAAGTGTTTAATGACTGCATTTAAACACTTCAACTCGTATAAAGCTCCTAAAATTTATTAATTTGCGCCGCAAGGCGGCGTTCGGCCGACTGCACGGCGCGCCGCCACGCCGCCTGCAGCTCCCGCAGCTCCGCGTCGCTCAGCTGGCGGCGCTCGGGCGGGCGCTCGTGGAGCGGCCGAAACGCGCGCCCGCTCTGGCGCATCTTGTGGAGGCGGGCGGCTGTCCGGGCCCGCTCCTCCACTCGCCGGCCCCGCTCCTCTGCCCTTAGTTGTAGGGCCCTCTGCTGGCCCGGGCTCGGCGGAGCCGGCAGCAGCGGCGTCTCCTCGTTCGCCTCACTAAAAGACAAAATAAAAACGATAATTAGTGGGTAGCCTTGAGATAATAGTAAGCACTGTCCCACAGCAGCTGGGAACAAGTATATTATATATCTCACTCTAGAGCCAGGAACTCCTATCTGCCATACCACAATTATTTATTTTATACAAGTTAAAGTTGCTTGATCATAACTTCACAGTAGGTACCTATTATTGTTCGTTTATGGTACCTACCTACTTAAATAAATAAATAATTATCGTCAGTATCATAATTTAAAAAGAAAATTAAATTTGACTTACCACTCGACGCCACCGCCGCCTTCGCCCACAGCTGAGCCAGGGACTCCGCCGTCCCAGCACCACCGGCTCCACCAGCCACCGCCGGAGCTAAAAATCAAACACATACACTCGAAAAAAAAAACAAATAAAGCAACATAGTTGTTAATTGCGAGCACACAATGCAAATAGGTTAGGAATGAGCCAAACCACGACGTGTTGTAAAATATTCCACTGCACATTCAGTCGATATGAGCACACAATGCAAATAGGTTAGGAATGAGCCAAACCGAAGTGTCCACTGCACATTCAGTCGATAAGAACACACAATTATTATAGGTTAGGAATTAACCAAACCAACGAAAACATTCCACATTCATTCGTTAAAACCATTCAAAATCCAAGTAGGAGCAACATGGTGTAATGGTGTTAGTTAGTTGTCAAATTGACCATTATAATTATCTTAACAATCCACGCAATTTAAACCATTAAAAATAGGTACATACCAGCATGCGCCCATATTTTCTGAAAAAGAAGAAAATATTGTTATTACAGGTAATAACTGATCCAAATAATCATAAGCAGATACTCGATATTTATTATTTTTTCGATTTAATACAGGTAAAATACTTACATTATGTAATTTAACCCGAACACCACAAGACTGCAACTTAGTTAAAAGTTCGTTCATCAAATTTGATCAAGTTTCAAAGATGGAGTGGGTTTTTTTTTATATGTACCTATAGTGTTTTACGGCTCTGGGTGCAAGCTCTTTTAAGCCAGGAGTATGGTTATTGCACAGATAATATAATTTGTTTTTATTATTTTCCAGGAACATATTATGTAAAATTTCATTTTGTTCTTGATTATTACCGATACCTTTGAATTAATTTAATATATCAAGGATTTTTTCCGCTTGACGTTTCAGTTGTTAGACTGTAACCTTTTAGGAGGGTAATTATTTATATATTTCATGTGATTACTCGAAGTCAACAGATTTTTTATTATAAATAAAATTTAATTATAAGAAGAAAAACTAAATACATTGGGTTAACTTTAAAATGAATCTACCAATCGTCGGATAAAACTAGTCTCTGTCTAATCTATGGAAGAAACTATTTCTTAGTACCCAGAGCCGTAAAACATCGTATTAAAAAAAAACTAGACCGGGACGTCGACGTGTAGGTATTGCCAACATCATCAAAACTAGACCGGAAACTATCAAGAAATGTTTTGTAAATAGGAATGGACGACTTGGAGTTATTTTTAAATGTAGTACAACATTATAAAAACATGTTAAATAATGATTTAATGTCCTTAAATTTGCGACATCAATCAAAATATTTTAAGTACCTACTTTTAAAAATAAAAATTACGGTTTTGAGTAAACGGAAACGCCTCTAAGGCGGCTCGCGTCGTCACATTGCGTTAATATTCCGATAGATGGCGTCAGAGTAGAGTGTAGTGTGAAGGAAAACGAAGGAATTGTTATTTGTTATATTTCAAACTTGGCGTGTAAGTACTTATTGTTTGATTTATTTCAACTTGTGAATAAAACAAAATATAACTATGTGTGTTATTGATATTTATAGCTTTGTTATTATGTTTGTTACAGACAATTTTATTATGGCGCACTCGGTGAATTCAGTGTAAGTGCCTACTTTGGTTTCATTGCAGCAATAGTTTTTTTTTGCAATGTTGTTGATGATATTATTAACTGGCCAGTGACTTTTTTGATTTTGTAACTTAATCAGCCTTAGCTACTGGAATTAACTGGGATATAAACTAATACATAACCTATCATCATTACTGTTTTTCTACTTAC